CTTGAAAATGAGCAAACATGTCAAATTCCCCCAACGAAACTAATTTGTTTGAATCATCTGTGAAAGCATTACTTTGGAACTTCAATGCACAGAAATATTTTCTTTTTGATGACTATGATTTCTGCTCTGAAGCTGGGGACAGAGCTGTAAAGCTAATGCATCTATCTTCCCCAGACCTACCCACCCACCCACCTGTGTATAGCTGCCTTCCAGGCACACGGAGCTCTTTTTTTTTTTTTTTTTTTTTTTTTTTTTGGCAGGGGGTGAGGGGTAGGGGGGAGTTCAAGACAGGGTTTCTTTGTGTAGCTTTGGAGGCTGTCCTGGTACTTTACTCTGTAGACCAGGCTGGCCTCAGACTCACAGAGATCCACCTGCCTCTGCCTCCCACTGGGATTAAAGGCATGCTCACACTGAGCTCTTAAGGCACTGAGAAGCACAGATATGGGTGCAGGGAGCCCAGGAAGCCTGGGGAGGGCCTCCCCCCACCCCCATCAGGCTGAAGGGACACTCAGAACTCTGTACCTGTCCTGCTGTTACAGTTAGCAGAACAGAGCTCTATGCTGCCGACTTTCTTCTTTTCCTTTCTTAAAAACAGAACAAAACTGTTAGCAGTTCTGGGGATCGAGCTGCACCATAAATATAGCCCTCTCTTTGCTTTGCTTTCTTCTTGATCTGCTGCTGAGAAATGCAGGGAGGAAGCTCAGCTGGTTGCCTGCGCCCCTTGCATGAAGCCCTGGGTTCAACAGTCAGCATTAGAAAACAAAACAATGACTGCTGGCTAAGTTGGGGCTCCCCTCTCTTTGCCAGGTGGCTTTCCAAAGTCTGGGAGCTCCCCTTCTTCTGCACTGGAACCAGGATTGAAACCCAGCCAACAGTGTGTTCGTGTTTCCTCAGCCAGCAAAAGATCACCATGGCCATATGCTTTTAACTGAGGAATTCCAAGCACCTTTAATATCCTTGGTTAATTTACAGGCAGAGTTTTATGTGTGGCTGAGCTGCTGCCACTATACTGCCATTACAGCTGATCATTGAATAGAATAAAAGGGTGTGAGGTTCATGGGCATAGGCTTACAGACTCCGGTGGGACACCAAAAGTAAGGTCCCACACCTCCGACCTGAGAAACATGTTAGCTGTCTTTCAGCGGCTTTAGGCGGATCCGGGAGATGGCATGAGGGCCTGAGTTCGAATCCTCAGTGCCTACATACAAAGCTGAGTGCATGCCTCAGTGCTGGAGTGTAGTGGTGGAGACAAAAGGATTGTTGGTTTCTAGTTAGATATTTCTGAAAGGACCTTTAAAGTCCAGTTAGCCAGAGAGAGGCAGAGCAGGACACACCACGTTCTCTTCTGGCCTCTACATATGCTTACATGGACAAGCACACAACGTGCACATACATCCATCACACACATACTAATCCATAAGTAAAAACAATATCTTAAAAACGTATTTATCTACCTGTACCAACTTTAGAAAAAATAAAAACAGACCCAAAATGGGACTTTAAACAAAAAGCTTTTTTTTTTCCTTTTTTGGTTCCTGTTTGCTGTTGAAGTGGGCCCTCCTGGGAAAACAAGGAGGTAGTTGCATTAGCTTTTGATGGAGACGAACCTGAAGATAAGTTAATCTGCATCAGCTTTTGAACACTCCTTCCCCTGGTGGAGACGAACCTGGAGATAAGTTGATCTGACCTCTGTTCCACAGAGGGGAAGGGGAGCCCACAGAGTTTCAAGAGTGAACATGCCCGTGTGTGATGAGGAGCGGAGTCTCTGTGGGCGGAGCCCAGATTTCTCCACACGAAATCTGCTTGGCACAGGAGCTATCCGAGGCTTACCTTACCTCGGGGCCACAGTAATGCCTGTCCCTCTCTACAGTATTGGACAAGGTGTACAGAGGCAAAAGCAGATTTCCCCCAGAATCCTTAGGGCATTTCTACACGTGAGGGAGGCTGTGGCCAGGAAGGAGGTAGGCTAGGGCAGTGGTTATCAAGTGCCTTCCTGGGCACACACAGTTGAACAAACAAAAACATTGCACGCCAGGGTCTACTTCCCATACGACCAAGCTATGAAAGTATTTGTATGTATATACATATGCACCTAAAAGTCAAAGGAAAAATCGTTTGCCCATCAGGTTGCAATGAATTCTGAGGTTTCATTAATAAATGCTAGTGACCCCTTGAATGGATTTTACTATCCTCTTTATGCATAGGACATGGTTCTGTGGCCTTCATGGCACTCTATCTGGACTGCCACCTCGTGTTCTCCTGCCCTTGTAATGCAGCTGCAAATCCCTGTTTCTTCACAGCAACACCCTACGGGATGCTTTACCAGAAATCAACACTGACATCACCCAGGGACGGTCTCGTGGGCCTACCCAGGATGTTTCCCACAAAAGTAGATGCTACTGGAAGACCAGGCTTGTATCTTCTCTCTCAAGACGGTAAATTGCCCCTATGAGTACCCTCTTTAATTCCCTTTTCAAATAGGAGTGGCCAATCAATGGTTACAAACCAACCCTTCTCCTCTGTGACCTCGGGCAAGTTGCTTACACTCTCTGATCCTCAGGCCTTGGATTTGTTAAGTTTTGTTTTGTTTTAACCCCTGCTGTTGTAAAATACAAAGAATGATAGTTAGATGCAGAGAAACTGTGAGAAGATAAAGGTGACATTTAAATGTGAAGCTGTCCTCTCAATTTTTTTTTTTTTTTTTTTTTTTTTTGGTTTTTACGAGACAGGGTTTCTCTGTATTGTTTTGGAGGCTGTCGGTCCAGCCTGGCCTCGAACTCACAGAGATCCGTCTGCCTCTGCCTCCCGAGTGCTGGGATTAAAGGCGTGCGCCAACAGCGCCCGGCTGTCCTCTCAATTTTAAAGTAATTGTTGGGTATAATTACACTTGTACTCACAACACTGTAATCCATGATGCAGTAGGATTAAAGGTACAAAAGACAAGTGAACAGAAGCTCTGGGTTCCAGATTCTTCTGTGACATCGATACTTGACAAACCAGCAAGCACATGAGTGCATTCTAAACGTGATTGCTAAACTTAGTGTTAAGTGATGTGCTGTTGCCTGGCAAACCACCTTCAAAGTGACTGACAAATTCGCAGAGACAGAAGTCGGGCAGTGGCCAGCAGGCTCCCGTGAGGGGCAATGGGGAGCTGTTGTTTCATGGGTACACAGCTTTAGTGTGGGATGATGGAGGGCTTTAAGATTGATGGATGTCGCTGTTGGTTGCAGGACAATATGAGTGCACCTGTTGCCACTCAATTGTAGAGATGCTTAAAACTGGGCTAGGGGATGCTCCGTGTTAGAGTGCATCTTTAGCAATGGTAAGAATTGTAAATTAAAAATGAAACGCTTTCAGAATCAAGTTGGGGGCAGAGCTCAGCAGGTTTAGCGCATCTCTGCCCTATGTGATGTCTTTTGGGACAGTGTGACAAGGAGTGGCCTTGTTTGTTCTGTTGGTGGGCACTCCTACCAGAAGGCCTCTCAGCCTCCAAGGCCCCTTGTCTACATGTGCTCTGTCTGTGGCTACATGACCTAGACACTTCTTTGTTTTCTTTTCCTGTGCAATGCTGGGAGCCGATCCAGGGCCTGGTATATGCCAGACAAATACTCTACTACTGAGCTACATTCTCATTCAGGTTTAGACTTCTTTACAAGGCAATGAGGATCTAAGAAAAATGGGCTTGAAGTCCCATAAAATTAATTTCACCTCATCTTCTTGGTTCAGTGTTGCCACAGATACTACATGGGAGCAAATGACCCAAGATATCAGAAGCCACTGGCTCCTTTATGGCCATTATATGATGATCTACACACACACAGAGTCTCTGCATCAATTTGTTATCCCGTCCCCTTACCTTGAATTCTGCCCTAATGCACCATCAAAGACTAGCAGGGTCATAACTATGAGGATGGACTCTGAGGCTTCAAACCTCAGCTCTGCCATTTGTTACAAAACCTGTATCGAGTGGTTCGTCCTCTCTGTGTTTCAGCTTCCTTGTTGAATTAAAAAAGAAAGAAAGAAAAGGAGGAAGGCATGACGACTCCTAAAGTAAGAAGGCTTTATTGCAGACATACCGGGAAAAGGAAGCAGAGGGAAGAGTCCAGGCTGACACGGCTGGCTGACTAAACTGGACCATGAGAGGAGAGACGGGGAGGGAGGGCTAGAGAGGACAGACTGACTGGGAAAGGTGGCCCAGGCCAAGAGACAGGCTTAACCAAAATGACTGAGTTATTATAGGGATCAGGCCTGGGGAAGGGCATGAAACCCAGGCCCTGGGAGGGAGTGGTTTAGGGTCTGGGATGGGTAAGAAGGGCTGGGAGGAGCCCGGATACTGAGAGAGACTGTCCCAGGTTTCTTGGAGAGTTAACACGTGTCTATAAAATGAAGCTGGCAATTGTATATATGTCATTGTGTTGCTGTGATGACTGATATGAATTAAAGACAAAACAACAAGACCTGAAAACAGCGCCCGAGTCAAGCATGGCGGTACAGCTCTGTAACTCCAGCACTCCGGAGAGTGAGGCAGAAGGATTGCCCCGAGTTTAAGACCAGCCTAGGCTACCCAGTGAACATCAGGCCAGGTACATATTAAGACCCCCTCTCAAAAACACAACAAAAGCCTGCCAGTAAGCATCCTCACTCCCCCGTGGCCTCTGCTTCATCTCCTGTCTCCAGGTTCCTGCCTCGAGTTCCTGCCTTGACTGCCCTGGATGATGGACTACAAACTGTAGGATGAAATAGACCCCACACAACACCACCAAATAACACAAAACTCTTACAAAACTGGTGCACAAAGAATGAACTATATAAGCCTTTGATATTATTATTGTTGTTGTCATTGTTGATGTTAATAAACACAGCCATCAGTGTGATCAGAAGGGAACTCTTAAGAACTGAGTAAGACAGGAAGTCTGGAAATTATCCAGGACCTCCCTGCCTCCCAGAGTTCTTACTTACTTTTAAATCTCCTGCTGACATTTAAGCCTCTTGCCTTTTGTTCTGCTCGCAGGAGACACAGAGACCAGCTGATCAACATCTCTGCAGGATAATCCTCCCAGCACCTGAAGACAGCTGTGGCAGCTTAAGGATCCGAGGCTAATCTGCACAGAGGTAATTGAGTTGACGCTATGTTCAAATGCATGTAAATCTTCACTGTCCTTGTGACTACACGGTTAGAAATGGGGGCAGCCCTTCCCTCCACCTCCATGGGTAGCTGCTGGAGTCTCGGGTCTTGTTTTCCTTGGGTCCCTAGGAAAGGGTCTTCCCTTTCTTTGACCTTAAACCGGAAATGGGCTTCTGAGGACCAGGGGCTCTGAGATGTGTGGTTCTCCTCTGACTCAAAATAGCTGGGGCAAAGAACCAGCCTTGCTGAGCAGCTCATTGGCACCTATTGTTTACTATGGAGTCAGTGGCTCTAAACTTTAGTTCAGCGAGCACCTTGCAAAGCTCAGCTTCCTGGGCTATCTGCAGTGCTAGCCTGTCCATTTGGAGGAAAGCTTTATGGAGTATTAGAGCCAGAGTACCTGGGTTCAAGTTCTGACTCTGCCTCTTACCACCCAGGTGACCTTGATGGAATCACTTAATTCTCAATTTCTTCATCTATAAAATGGTCTTGATAATAATATTATATTGTAGGGCTGATTGGAAATTTAAAAATACAAACATCTTGAGAGGGAATACACAAGTCTCAAAATATGTTTTCAAGAGGCTCCTGGAGGCCAGCACTATGGTTCAACAGGTAAATGGAGATTGATCCCGGGCAGAGAACTTACTCCTCGCATGAGCACACACACACACACACACACACACACTTCTGGGACACTTGGTTCCTTCCCTACCTCCTGGACCACTCCTGTGTCCATGAATTTGAGTCTTTGATCCCAAACTCTTCTTCATTTTATGTTGTTATAAGAACTCAGCCATAAGTCCTGACTCCGGGTCCAATCTCTCATCAACATTAATAGAGAAAGATCATCACACAAGAGAGATGGGAAAAATGAATTTATTTACAGTTTTAGTAAAAAGTGAGTAAAGAGAAACTCTCATCCCGTCTTCACCTTGTTACCGCAGTGTGAGAGATTACAGTAGAAGTGCCACAAAAGCCAGGAAATGCACATTTGTAGATAGTCTTTCTCCTGGGAGATACAAGATCTAGGGTCAGGGCTCCTGCGGGCAGCCCATTTTCACTCAGTGTGGAATTTTCCTAGAAGAATCCTAACTCCCCCCAGTTACAATATGACTTTTCATATGTTTCACACCCTTTGATTTAATTACCTACAAATCTCTATCTCTAAGCTATTTCTCCTTCTTCTCCTCATCTATACATTGATCTAGATGGTCCAAGTTTCCTATGTTTCAAAAGGCCCAAAACTTCTGCCTAGGATTTAATACTAATTTATGTAAGACTAGCTGCCCATCATTTAAAACCATCATTAGTTATCTCTTTGCACCAGGTTGGGGAAGGCAGGCAGGGAGAAGAGAGTGGTTGTGGAAGCAGCAGGGCAGGGGATGGGCTAGAGAAAGGGAGGGTGGACACAGTCTCACTAAATTGGACAGAATACCTGATTCAACACTTCAGGAACTGACCCATAGATAGGACAAGTCTGTGGTCCTTGAGAAGAGAAACTCACCCCAGCTTGTTGTCTGGGACAATTCCCTGACAGAAAAGCAATGAGTTGGAGGGAGAAGGGAACCTGCTGAACTCTAGATTAGGAGCCTTGTGGAAACTCCTTAGATGCCTGCTGCCCTTTGGAAGGATTATCAGCTGGAAGCTGAGCAGAGACACTGGAGTTAAGCATGGAGGAGCCCCTGGAAGTGTGGCTCAGGGAATGGAAAGACACATTAACACTTCACTGATAACAGCCTGGCATCCAGATATCAGAAAATGTTTGTCTTCGTGACTCCATTCCTGTTGCTGTGATAAAAGGACCCGACCAAAGCAGCTTCCCAATTGTAAGCTATTTGACTCCCAGTTCTTGGTTACAGCCCATCATAACCGGGAAGTCAAGACGGTAGGACCTGAAGCAGCTGGTCATGTTGTGTCCATAATCAAGAGCAGAGGGCAATGAACTCATGTGTGTGAGCTTATTGCCCATTTCCACTCAGCCCCGGGCCCATGAGATAATGCCAAACATTCTTGACGAGTCTTCCCACCCATGCCACGTGAGGTAGGGCCCATCTCTCAGAATCTGGTTTCAGTGAGTGGACAATTACTAACCTGCACGATGTTCTAGAGCAGTATCTCTTGCAGTGCTATCCCACCTGGAAATCTGTCAGACAGACTATTGGAAATGAAAACTCTAGGGCAAAGCTGAGCTCAGCACTGGCTGCTCCTGCAGAGGACCCTGGTTCAGTTCCTGACGCTCACATGTGCATTGAAACTATCCATAACTCCAGTTCCAGGAGCTCCAACACCCTCTTACCTTTGTGGGCACCAGGCATGCACACAATACACGAACATGTGTGTAGAGAAAACACTCAAACACATAAAAGTAAACAAATGTCTAAATTATCTTTTTTTAATTCAAGAACTCTACCTCAGACTCACTGAATCAGAAACTTAAAGAAAGAAGGCTGGGAATATATGCTGTAAAGAACTGTTTCTTGCAATTCTTTGGTGTTTTGTGAGATAGGTTCTCACTCTGTAGCCCTGGCTAACATGGAACTCACTAAATAGACTATGGTAACTTAAACTGACCCTCCTGCCTCAGCCTCCCAAGTGCTGGGATGACACTTGTGTGACACTATACCTGGCTTTCCTATTATAGTCCGACACAAACTGAAGTTTGAAAACCATTGCTCTAAGGAAAAGCCCACACTCGGTGCGATCAAAATCTAAAACAAAGCTTTGACAATATACAGAGAGCAGAGGCAGGTGTGGTAATAGCAACACTAGGAGACCAAGACAGGAGGGCCATGGTTTTGAAGTCAACAAGGCTGCATAACAAGACCCCACCCACCCACCCTTTAGAAAGAAAGGAAAAGGAAAGGTTCCTGGGACACTTGGCTTCTTTCCCACCTCCTGGACCACTCCTTCTGTGTCTCTTTTGTGCCTTGGCTTTCGTTCAGTCATGAATTTGGTGGTTTCCCCAAGAGTCTTTGATTCTGGACTCTGCTTCATTTTATGTTATTACAAGAGCCCAGCCGCAAGGCCTGGTTCTGGGTCCAAACTCTCATCAACATTAGTAGGGAAATAACATACTATATAGAAAGAAGAAAGGAAGAAAGGAAATGCAGAAAATGAGTCAGAGATTGGATTTAGTAGACAAGAACACTAAAAGCATCTATTGTACACATAGCCAATGACTTCAAGGAAAATATAATCTTACTGAACAAAGAGGCAGGGGTTTTGAACCATCACACTTAGCTTTGGGGAGGATTGAGGGTGATTGAAATAGAGTCTTGCCAGGCATTGGTGCACACACCTTTAATCCCAGCTCTTGGGAGGCAGAGGCAGGTGGATCTCTGTGAGTTCGAGGCCAGCCTGGTCTACAGAACGAGTTCCAAGACAGACTCCAAAGCAATACAGAGAAACCCTGTCTTAAAAAACCAAAAAGAGAGAGAGAGAGAGAGAGAGAGAGAGAGAGAGAGAGAGAGAGAGAGAGAAAGAAAGGAAGGAAGGAAGGAAGAAAGACAGGAAGGAAGGAAGGAAGGAAGGAAGAAAGAAAGAAAGAAAGAAAGAAAGAAAGAAAGAAAGAAAGAAAGAAGGAAAGAAAGAAAGAAAGAAAGAAATAGAGTCTCACTCTGTGGCCCAGGCTGGTCTTGAACTTGCACCAATCCTCCTACCTTAGCCTCCAAAGTGTGGGACTGTAGGCATGAGATACTATATCACTAACAGTTTCTCATGGGAACTCACTGCAGAGCTGTTGAGAACTCCAATCTGTCTGAAGGCAGCATCCCAGTGAGCTTAATTTCCTCCCACGAGGTCCCACCACTTCCCAACTCGGCTGCGCTGAGGACCGAGTGTTCAGTGCATGAGGCTTTGTGCACACACTCAGATCACATCTGTAAGCAGCCTCCTCATCTTCAGCGCATCAGTTTCTCCTGATGTTGAGCAGGGTCAGCTCTCCACAGCCTGGACTGGACTGTTTCTCTCGCTATCTTCCACTGATACCCAAAGGTCCGTAGGTTCCGCATCATTCAGTACCATTCTGCTCTTCTTGTGTTTGTTACATTTGTCATCAAAGGCTCTTCCTCTGTTGACAGCATCCTTTCTTCATCATTTGCCTGCCAGGTTGTCTTCAGAACTGCTCAAACAGGCTAGATAGCAGCTCAGTTTGTAGAGAGCTTGCCCAGCACGAGCCACAGAGCCCCTGGTTTGATCCTCATCGCCACATAAACCTGTGGCTGTCCCACACACCTGTGATCCCAGCACTAGGGATGTGGAGGCAGCATGAGGAGTCAGATGTTATCTTCATTACATAGCCAGTCCTCAGAGCCACATGTGAATGAGGCCCTGTCTCCAACAAAACCTCAGAAAAACAGCTCAAAGAGCACCTGCTTCGTGAGTCTACCCTAATGCTTTCCATGGGAGTAGGAAACACTCCCCAATTTTGTACTAATTATTTATTTGCCTGCCTGTTTTCATTAGGCTTTGGCCTTCAGTGGCAGGAACCCACCATGTGTCTTTGCATCCTCAGTGATTAGCATAAGCCAAACACAGCAGCAGCCAACCCTGTACTTAACCACTGTTTATTGAAAGAGTAGATAAACAAACACTTACTGAAATATCTATGTGGTAGGAGTTTCAAATTTTTCTTCTTATATACAACAAACCTAAAAGTAGAAAACAGCATCAAAAATAAAAGCAACGCACACTAAGATACTTTATAGCTCAGTATTCCTTATTTTGAAAATTACATCACTGACCCTAAAATGTAGACGTACAAGTAGTCATAACTGTCATTTAAGAGCAGCAAAATGAGGTAGGTGGGAGTTTGTAATCCCAGCACTTGGGAGGCAGAGGCAGGTGAATTACAGTAAATTCGTGGGTAGCCTAGGCTACATACTAAGTTCCAGGCAAACTTGGGTTATGTAGTTAGACTGCTTTAAAAGGCATACATGTACAAAGAGAGAGACACAGAGACAGACAGACACACAGACAGACAGAC